CTATAAACATAAGATCAGCTACAGGTTACTGTAAACATAAGATCAGCTACGGGTTACTGTAAACATAAGATCAGCTACGGGTTACTATAAACATAAGATCAGCTACAGGTTACTGTAAACATAAGATCATCTACGGGTTACTGTAAACATAAGATCATCTACGGGTTACTGTAAACATAAGATCAGCTACAGGTTACTGTAAACATAAGATCAGCTACGGGTTACTGTAAACATAAGATCAGCTACAGGTTACTATAAACATAAGATCAGCTACAGGTTACTATGAACATAAGATCAGCTACGGGTTACTATAAACATAAGATCATCTACGGGTTACTATAAACATAAGATCAGCTACGGGTTACTGTAAACATAAGATCAGCTACAGGTTACTGTAAACATAAGATCATCTACGGGTTACTATAAACATAAGATCATCTACGGGTTACTGTAAACATAAGATCATCTACGGGTTACTGTAAACATAAGATCAGCTACAGGTTACTGTAAACATAAGATCATCTACGGGTTACTATAAACATAAGATCAGCTACGGGTTACTGTAAACATAAGATCATCTACGGGTTACTATAAACATAAGATCATCTACGGGTTACTATAAACATAAGATCATCTACGGGTTACTGTAAACATAAGATCATCTACGGGTTACTGTAAACATAAGATCATCTACGGGTTACTGTAAACATAAGATCAGCTACGGGTTACTGTAAACATAAGATCAGCTACAGGTTACTGTAAACATAAGATCAGCTACAGGTTACTATAAACATAAGATCAGCTACGGGTTACTATAAACATAAGATCAGCTACAGGTTACTATAAACATAAGATCATCTACGGGTTACTATAAACATAAGATCATCTACAGGTTACTATAAACATAAGATCATCTACAGGTTACTGTAAACATAAGATCATCTACAGGTTACTGTAAACATAAGATCATCTACAGGTTACTGTAAACATAAGATCATCTACGGGTTACTGTAAACATAAGATCAGCTACAGGTTACTGTAAACATAAGATCATCTACGGGTTACTATAAACATAAGATCATCTACGGGTTACTGTAAACATAAGATCATCTACGGGTTACTGTAAACATAAGATCATCTACGGGTTACTGTAAACATAAGATCATCTACGGGTTACTGTAAACATAAGATCAGCTACGGGTTACTGTAAACATAAGATCAGCTACAGGTTACTGTAAACATAAGATCAGCTACAGGTTACTATAAACATAAGATCAGCTACGGGTTACTGTAAACATAAGATCAGCTACAGGTTACTGTAAACATAAGATCAGCTACGGGTTACTATAAACATAAGATCAGCTACGGGTTACTATAAACATAAGATCAGTTACGGGTTACTATAAACATAAGATCAGCTACAGGTTACTATAAACATAAGATCATCTACAGGTTACTGTAAACATAAGATCATCTACGGGTTACTATAAACATAAGATCAGCTACAGGTTACTGTAAACATAAGATCATCTACAGGTTACTGTAAACATAAGATCATCTACAGGTTACTGTAAACATAAGATCATCTACGGGTTACTGTAAACATAAGATCAGCTACAGGTTACTGTAAACATAAGATCATCTACGGGTTACTATAAACATAAGATCATCTACGGGTTACTGTAAACATAAGATCATCTACGGGTTACTGTAAACATAAGATCATCTACGGGTTACTGTAAACATAAGATCATCTACGGGTTACTGTAAACATAAGATCAGCTACGGGTTACTGTAAACATAAGATCAGCTACAGGTTACTATAAACATAAGATCAGCTACAGGTTACTATAAACATAAGATCAGCTACGGGTTACTGTAAACATAAGATCAGCTACAGGTTACTGTAAACATAAGATCAGCTACGGGTTACTATAAACATAAGATCAGCTACGGGTTACTATAAACATAAGATCAGTTACGGGTTACTATAAACATAAGATCAGCTACAGGTTACTATAAACATAAGATCATCTACAGGTTACTGTAAACATAAGATCATCTACGGGTTACTATAAACATAAGATCAGCTACAGGTTACTGTAAACATAAGATCATCTACGGGTTACTATAAACATAAGATCATCTACGGGTTACTGTAAACATAAGATCAGCTACGGGTTACTATAAACATAAGATCAGCTGCAGTTTACTGTTATCATCTTAATGTAATTGAAATGAAATACATGCCCTAAATATTCGAGTGTTCGAATGTTATATAAAGTATTTCATGGTCAGAATTTCATCATTTTACTTCCGGTATTTTTTTTTTTTTTTTTGAAGGGGAGGGGGATGAAAATAAGAACATTAGATCTGGATATCCGTCATACACTTGTCATGCTTCCAAATCATACAATTAATTCTTAATTGAATTCAAGAATAAGACTGATAGCAAATGAATCATCGTCGTACATGTATTAAGGTGTATATGTACTAAAATGTACTTGGATGAAATAAAAAAAATTGTGATTGCAGGTGAACTGTTTAAAATTCAATAGAATGTGGCCATTTTTTTTCACTGTAAGTAAGACGTACACTCGCTTGTTGTCGTTTGCATACTTTATTCATGTCCTCTCGATGCATTAAGTAATGAGTTGTAAAATAATGAAGTTTTTCTTTCTTTTTCATAGTGAATTTGTATACGTTTATTATGTGAGTTTTGAATGGAGGCTACTAATTTAAACGCGGACCGGTATTAACGAAATATGGATTAAAATTTATAGGCAAATAAGATAAAATATAAATCTTAATAATGCTAATTTCCCGTTTTGCTGTGTGTCTTCTATGAATTAGTATGCAAGGATGGGAGCTCGGAGTCACGACTTAAAGAAATTAACGTCAGTCGCGATACGACAGTAAAAACGCTCCACACAAAATACATGTATAATAAAAAAAATGTCATTTACATCTCAACTTCTGAATTCACCTTGGTGGTAAATATACATGTGCTGACATATTTTCAAGGTTGATGCCAAATGCCCGATTTATCACCATATACATTTGTGTGCATGAGTAATTTTAACATGTTTAAAGGGAAAAGAAAACAGATCACCGGCGAATTTAGAGGGGGCAGGGCCCCTCCCCCTTCCTTTTTTGTGACCAAAATTTTACATAAGATAAATATTTTTTTTTTTGGTATTGGGTATTGCATTAATTATACGCAAAATATAGCTAAAATAAGTAAAAAAAAAAAAAACAAAAAAAAAACAAACAAAACAAAACAAAACAAAACTGTACCATGAAAGTCCTAAAACCTAAGAGCTTGTGGGAGAGTTTCGCCCCCTGGCCCCCACCCTGACCCTCAGTTGTCCCCTCCCCTCTTTTCGACAATCCTGGATCCGCCACTGCAGATCTACATTTAGTACTTGTATGTAACGACTCGGACCTTCGTATGTTTTGGGGAGTAATAAATTTTCATGCTATAGTTGCTTAGATGAATTTTGATTCTTTGTCAACTTTTCCTGAATAAAGAGAAACATTCAAAGGCTGAACAGTATTTTAAGTGGTTCCACAAGTTAAGAAGACCGTTACCAGATATCTGGTAATAGAGTGCGGAGGGTGTCTTTTTTTGGGGGGGGGGGGATACTCCATCGATCCCCAAAGCCAGAATATTTTTTATGCATGGAGACCTTTTTTAGGGGGGGGGGGTCTGGAATATAATGGGGAGGGGATTGCATTCGCATCCAACCTACCCATCCCCTTTCGTCGACTTGCCACATTGTTCTTATACATAAATTAATTACTAGTACCTTGCTGGGTTGTGATGAATCAAGGATCTAGGAAAGGGAGGAGGTCTACATGCGAGGGGGGGGGGTATTACATGTGAGATGGTGTTCATCACACATTAAGCCGCCGAGCAAAATGAATATAAGGGCCTGTAGAAGCTATTTAGAGAGAACACACACACACCCTCACATACACACACACACACACACACACACACAGAGAGAGAGAGAGAGAGAGAGAGAGAGAGAGTCATTTTCTTCTAGTAATTATGAACGATACGATGCACGCGGTTTTGATACTATCATATCTGACTCTTTAATTGTTGTAAAGAAACTGGCGTTTTCAAGATGATATATTTACTAGAAATTAAAAATGAAATTAATTAAATTTAAGGTTAATAAATTATTCTAAAAATTCTCTTTTAAGTAACATGAGTAATGTAAAAATATTTTAAGTATGATAAGGCTTTATTCATTAAATTGATCATTAAGGCAAAAATCCAGAGTCCTACCTTACATTGATTATTGTTCGCACAATATATAAAAAGATGCACTGCGTAACTTTAAATACATTGACTTGTACTCTAAATTAAATGAAATTTAGGGGATACAATAATATGCATACATCCTTTGTGACATTGTTGAATTCTTGTGTATAAATAAATAAATGATTGAATAAATGTAGCAGGAAAGGAGAAAAATTATTCAATTTTGCTGGACCGGGAATAGAACCGTGGACCCCTGCATCACTTAGTCTAGTAAGGTGTTCTACTGGGAAAACTGAGCTACCCAGGCCGACATTCACGGTCCAAACCATTTCAGAAATAAATAAATAAAATAATAGAATAAATAGATAAATAAATTTTAATATAAAAATGGCGCGAATACCTCCAAAATTTTAGAATTAGTTCAGTGCAATCCATTTTCGTTGGAGTCCTTTTTTTAACATACAGTGACCAGGGATCTAAACTACATGAATGTCACTTATATATGTATTGAAAGAGGGAAAAATGAATTCAAAAGACTGTACTAGGGTTGTGGTGTTTCTGGGCTTCCAAATAGAGAGTTTAAAAATCATAAAGCAAACTTTGCGTACTGTTTTTATTGATGTAATCGCTCATTATCCAAGATAATCTAATTTTATCGCCTTATTATATATCCGGAAATATTGTACCTACTAGTTCCGACTTTCATCATTACATATTAATTTTTCCTTTCTTTTACTTCCGGTATGGGAATTCTCATACTTTTTGTAAGTGTTTGTGCCATTTCATGCTATTTGAAATTGAAACATTTCAATATACATCATGGTTTAGTTCTTAAGATAATAATTTATTCTTGGAAAACAAACATTTTCATTGCGCTGTTGTATCTGCGTCCAAAAATTGCTTTCTATCCTCATGTTGCTCTTCAACTGACGTAGTTTGCACGTGTGATTGAGATTAAATAGTATTGTTTTTCTGCAGCTGTGAGAATTTGGTGGGTGGTACTATGTCCACACTGCAAGCATGGACGTGGTGGACAGTTTATCGACAGCCCCGGGGACTGACACCGTCCCCTCCCTGGACTTTGACCTGATCACAGACGGAGATTCGGGAAACATTTGGTGTGAACAGTGTAAAATCTATAAAAAGGTAGGTAATTTTATTGTATTTAGAAAATAGAACTGTGTCTTAGGACATGCCACCAAGCTGGGTCAGTAGACAATATACATTTATTGACTGGGTAAGCCCCTGTTCGAGGCAACATACATGCGTTTTGTCGGACCCAAGAACCAAACTGTTAAATTGCCTGAGGTCGTCAGGCCCAAGGCAAACAATTTGGTTCGAGGACTCGACAAAACCCATTTTGACCGAGAACCCAGTCAATAAATGTTTTGTTAAACCTCTTTTTTATTTATTCATTTTTAAAAAAATGTATTTATTTATTTTATTCTTTTGACATACCTGTATCTTGTTCTAGCTTCCATACAAATGAATACAAATAAGATTTAGCTGATCCCGCCCACAGTGTGATGTAAGTGGACCATCCGACATCTCATTGACAGGTCCAATATCTCAAAACATCAATTTTTTTATGACTGCTCAGTAAAATTTTTAGACTTTTTTTAGTATAGATTTATATAGGAACTAATTTTTAAAGGTATAACAATATTATTTTAAAATCAGAACAATTTATCTGCTCTTAAGTATTATTATATCATTTGATGTGAAGGGATTGGAAGTAAGAATAACCTAACTGGGTCTCGGGACAGCTAGGCCCTTGCCACAGTTATAGAATGCCTCTCATATACCTGAAATGTAACAAGAAAATGCATAGTGGCTCAAAATGAGAACAAATAAAGTTGCATCGAAAATAACCACCAAATTCATCAAATGTTAATCATGATAAACCTTTTGAGATAGTGGATACCTTCAACCCAAGATGTTAATTCAATATATTAATAACAGAAGAATTCAACACATTTTCTCATATTTGTTGACATAACTGTTGACATTCAGAAAACTCTGAATTGCTCATAGTATTATATGCATTGATAAGAGTTAATATTTTCCTGTTTATTTTGTTACAACATTGCCAATAGTTGAATACACAAAACACATTCTATAATTAAATCTGGTTTGCAGTACTTTAATATTTTAAAAATAGAACCAAAAAAATTGCTAATTTAATAAAAAATATTGTACTGACTTATATAAGGGAGTCAATATGGCATATTCCTCCAAAATACTCTGAAAAAGTACAAATGACTGATATGTAGACCAGCTAATGTGTGATTATATACACTCTCTGTATGATTGTGCAAAAAGGGGGTACCATTGTATTGATTTGAACATACCTGTATTTTATTGTATACACATGATACATGTTTACAAAAGGTACCAGTTTCTTTCAAATTGCTAGGTTCTTACCTCAAATAGCTACAAATGTCAATATCTGTAGAAAAACTTGTATATACTGGTAAACAAGTTTGTTTTAAGGCGTACATTCATTACATGACTTCCGTGATTTGATACTCAAGTAAATGTACCAGAGATTTCAATAAAATTTTACACTGTTGAAAAAATATTTTGGTTGATATCAATATTTAGTGCTTAGTCTCCCCAGAGATGTGGGTGACAGGGGTTGCATTATTAACTGTGAAGTTATATTATAAATCTTTGTGCCTCTTTCTCTGTATCAGTAAGTTAAAATAGACTCTGTAAAGTAAATAATTAATGCTAAATTATAACTTACAATTTCAGAATTATGAGAAGCTTCAGGAAGAGCATGCTCGGAGCTACAACACACTAAAGAAGAAGATAATATCCACAGAGTAAGCCAGGAATTTCTTATCTAGAGGAACTCATTTATAATATAAAATCAACATTAGTAATTTTAAGTGATTTAAGTATAATAGTTATACAGTAAAACTTGATTAGAAGGAAGTCACTGGACCTTAAACTTTGCTTCCCTATAACAGAGATTCTTATAAAGAACATATTGAAAAGTCTTCTATGGGATTTGAAAAAAAATCCTTCTAAGTAAACAGAGATTTCTTTATAGGCAGGTTCTTTGTAAGCAAGTTTTACTGTATTTTACTCTGTAAAATTTTAGCTTAAGGGTGATGAAAAGTATTCCAGAATGCATAGAGGGACTTAAAGTGATTTTTTTTTTCTAATTTCAGCTTGCTCATCAAGAAGTACAAGACAAAGTGTGAAGATATCCTTTTCAATGAATATTTTATCAAACTTTAAAAACCAAAAAAAAAAAAATAATAAAACAAAAGAAACCAAACGAACAACAGCAACAACAACAACCAAAAAAAAGGGAAGAAACATGCAAAAAAAAAAAAAATTATTTAAATTTTGCTTTAAGACAGTGAACAAATAAAAAGATTTTGAGTCAGATTTTGTTCAGGTTTTTGTTAAATGAAAAGAAATGCAAAGTTAACTTTAAATTTTCATATACTGGTAGGACTTGTTAATTTTTTCTTATCCTAGAGGTATAGGGAGATATGTGATTGTTGTATGTGGGTCTATACAGTTATAAGCCACTAAAGTAGTGATAACCATTCTGAAGCCAATGTACAAGTTAATAAAACCTACCAATAACCACTTCCTACAAATTTAATTAGAATTCATTTGGATTGGATCTATTCTTTTGACCAATTATGAATATGTAAGTGACATTCTCTCTGATAGTTTTCTTGTCAACATGTTCATTGCAATTAAAGAGTTAAATGACATTTAATGTCCAGGGAACACAAAAAATATATAATTATGTTGTATTCAGTAAGGACAATAAAAGAGTTTTACTGCATACAATGCACAAAGTTACATGTACACAAAAATACACAAAGTTACACACAAAAAAACCTCCTCTGACACTGCATATGACTATGTTTTGCAGAATGTTGAAATCCTGTATTTTAAACCACTGGATTACATAACAAGTTTATACCATATTTGAAACTTTGGGCAATAAAATTCTCTTTTCATAGACAAAGGTATTAGTTATATAGAGAACTTTACAATTAACAATGGGAGTAGCATGTCACCTGGAGGGGAAGCTTTCCTTGACTCTCACACAGTATGACCAGCAGGCCAGGAAACTAGAGGATGCAGTCAAAAGACAGGAACAGTTACAGAGGTGGGTTATTTGAGGGGGCAGCATTGAAAAATCTCAGATCCCCCTATATCAGGAGGGGGAGACATTGAACAACCTCAGATCCCTGCAAACCAGAAAGGGAACAACATCGAACAACCTCAGATCCCCAGGAAGGGGGGTGGGGGGTGTACTTCATTCTTTTTTCTCTTTTAAAGACTTTTCTGTTGAAGATACAGATTGAACAACCCTAATAAAATGATAGACAGGGTTATAAAACAACATCCAATAGTATATTTTTTTTAATTTCATTTTTATGCCCCCAGATCGAAAGATCCTGGGGGTGTATCGTTTTTGTCCTGTCTGTTTGTCTGTCTGTCTGTTGTCAACTTGCCCATAACTTTTGATTGGTTGGAGCTATGATTTTCATAATTCACATGTGTATTCATTGTGAGAAGACCTTTCTCTGGGTACCATCATATTTGACCTTTTGACCTTGACCTTGGAGTTTGACCCACTTTTGCTAAAATTTTATGAGAATTTAACCTTGGCCATAACATCTGAACAGTTGGTGCTTGGGGTTTCAAACTTCACATGTGTATTCTTTGTGACAAAGCTTTCCTTTGGATACCAACAACTTTTACCTTTTGACCTTGACCTTGGAGTTTGACCTACTTTTGAAAAACTTTAACTTTGGCCATAACTTTTGAACAGTTGGTGATTGGGGTTTCAATCTTCACATGTGTATTCCTTGTGACAAGACCTTCCTCTGGATATCAATGTCTTTGACCCTTTGTCCTAGGAGTTTGACCTACTTTTGAAAAATTTTAACCATGGCCATAACTTTTGAATGGTTGGTGCTAGGGCTTTCGTACTTTACATATGTAATTCTTGTGACAAGACCTTCCTTTGGATACCAACCACTTTGACCCTTTGACCTTGACATAGGAGTTTGACCTACTTTCGAAAAACTTTAACCTTAGTCATAACTTTTGAATGGTTGGTGCTAGGGCTTTCATACTTCACATATGTAATCCTTGTGACAAGATCTTCCTTTGGATACCAACAACTTTGACCTTCAACTTGATGTTTTACTTACTTCTAAAAAACATTAACCTTTGCCATAACTTTTGAACAGTTGCAGCTAGGGCTTTCAAATTTCATAGGTATATTCCTGGAGACAAGACCTTTCTTTGGGTACCAACATTTTTTTATCTTTTGGCCTGGATTTTGACTTGCTTTTAAGAAACTTTAACCTTCGCCATAAGCTGCCATATGGGGGCATCAGTGTTTCACAAACACATCTTGTTCATTTGTGATTTTTGATTTAATAAATACTAATAGCTTCAAGATTTTTATTTCTGATATTTCTATTGAGCACTGTAGCTAGTTTACATTATTACAGACATTGTAATGTGTTTTATTGAGTTTCTGGTTTAAATTGCAGACTTTGGAATATATTAATGATTTAAATTGCAGATTTTGAAATTTATTTCAAATACTTATGCATGCATTTGAATTTCCCACAGGGAGACAGACACACTGCAAGTCCAGCTGTCCTCAGCACTTCATCAGATAGAACCTCTCAAACAGGTGAGCTATTTTCACAACCCAAACCCCACAGCAGTCCTCCAACCTGTCATGTATATTAACCCAGACCCCCACAGCAGTATAAAACCTGTCATGTATATTAACCCAGACCCCCACAGTAGTATTAATCCTGTCAGGTATATTAACCCAGACCCCCACAGCAATCCTCCAACCTGTCAGGTATATTAACCCAGACCCTTACAACAATCCTCCAACCTGTCAAGTATATTAACCCAGACCCCCACAGCAGTATTAAACCTGTCAGGTATATTAACCCAGACCCCCACAGCAGTATTAAACCTGTCAGGTATATTAACCCTGACCCCCACAGCAGTATTAAACCTGCTAGGTATATTAACCCAGACCCCCACAGCAATCCTCCAACCTGTCAGGTATATTAACCCAGACCCCCACAGCAGTGTTTATCCTGTCAGGTTTATTAACCAAGACCCCCACAGCGGTATTAATCCTCTCAGGTATATTAACCCAGACCCCCACAGCAATATTAAACCTGCCAGGTATATTAACCCAGACCCCCACAGCAGTATTAATCCAGCCAGGTATATTAACCCAGACCCCCACAGCAATCCTCCAACCTGTCAGGTATATTAACCCAGACCCCCACAGTAGTATTAATCCTGTCAGGTATATTAACCCAGACCCCCACAGCAATCCTCCAACCTGTCAGATATATTAACCCAGAGGCCAGTAATTCACCTCAAAAAGGTCATTAATTCAGAGATCAACCCTCCCCAAAACATATCAGTAAAATGTTATAATAACCTAGAGACCAGCAGGTCCCCTCAAACAAGTCAGGTATATTAACTCAGGAGACAAATCAAATCCCATAAATGGGTCAGTTGTATTAAGTTTTTACCTAGAGGCCCACAACTCCATATTAAGATAAAAATCCCTGAAAGGTCATGTACGACAACATGCATGAAGTAGCATATTAAGGCTAAGTTGATCTTGACAATTTCTTTTACATTCCTATAACTAATTTTTAAAACTGTAAATAAAAATCAACCTTTATCAGTGCATTGAATGTCCCCTGGCTCTAACAAACAGAATAAATTTTAAAACCAGTATTTATTTTGATTTTATTTTCAAATTGACTGGGAGGAGTGAGAGTGGGGTTGGACTTAGTTAAATGTATAGGGTATTATGTTTTAATGGAAAAACTTAATTGTGAAACAAAAACTCTGAACATTTCAAATAAATGATGTCAAATTAAGTTAAAACTCGAGTTATTAATCCATTTCATTTCCAACATAGGAACTAACAGAATATCAGAGTGAATCAAAGGTCTGATTTTAATCAGACTGAATATTGGATACTTGTTGAATGTTCAAATACAACAAAATATTTATAAATAATAGAAATCATTGTTTCTCACTTAAATGGGAAAACACATGAAAATATTCAGATATACAATTATTATTGGTACTTTGTCTACTATAATGTTAAGAATATTTGAATTATTAACGAACTGTTTTTAACACCATCAATTTCAGATTTCAAATGAAAGGGAGATAACTGTTCTCTTAGCATGATTCAGGCTAAAGCTACATTGAAAAAAAGTTTGCATCTCTGATTTTTTTTCTTTTGAATATTGGTGACAATTAAAAACTCCCGCCAGTATACCACATATAAAATTAGTGTCACTATCCAGGGGTGTGCAATTACAAAAATTAGTTACTAGCCCGTCGGGCTAGTGGCAGTAACAAAGTTACTAGCCTGAGGTTGGCAGTCACTAGCCCATTAACTACCGAAAACAATACATGTATAAATATAACAAAAAAGGTAAAAAAAAACAAAACATTTAAGTTGAAATAAATAAAACAAATAATGGTTTGCGCTTTGTTGTCAGGTACTTCTCCCTATTTTTATCGACTATAATTGTCACTGAAATGACTGGCGATAGCAACACACAATACATATAGGTTAAAATGAATTAAAGATTATGATTTTACAACAAAGTTAATTCGTACATCAATTCAGTCGACGTAAATGTACGTAATACTTACGTTTTAGATTTACTAACCCGACAGGCTAATGCAGTATAGATTTATGATAGCCCGACCTCTAAAATTGGTAGCCGGGCGATGGTAATTGCACACCATGCATGATCGTAATTCAGTCAAATCCATGATTTTTGTCATCTGTGAAGAATAATTGTTTTGGTGTGACTGGTCAGCAGAGGATGCTCACACCTCCATGGCACCTGATCCCACCTCTGATGTTTTGGAGGATTTTATTTGCTCTTCTTCTGATTTGTATTGTTTGAATGGACTTTTGAGCTTGCGTGAATACTGTTTGTAATCTCCATATATTTCATTTGATTTTTTTTTCTCATACTTGGTATGCTTAGATGGTTTTGCCTCATAATTGTTAAATTTTAATTGCCTCATCCTGAATAAAAGTTGTCCAAAAAGTTGAAAAATTGGTTTACAGTATTTTATCTTATTTTTAATTTTTTAACTAGCATATAATTATCTACATTGGTTTTATAAACATATCCTACCATATGATGTTTATTTGGAAATTGCTGTATTTTATGATTACAGTAGTCAGTAAATCAAACAATCTAACAACACTTAAACAAACTGAAAATTTATGTTAAAACAATAAATGCAATTAGTAATTCTGGTTATCACTTGTAGAATAATGTGATTTTGGTAACAAAATATGAGAAGTCTGTATACATATATCATACTACATTTAATTGATGATTTTTGATGAAATACTGCAAATCTGATATGAATGATTGCAGTAAAGATTGATCTGTATTAAATGTTACACTATGTATTTAAACACTTTGACAAGTCCTTCCGTGTATCCAACCCACTGTATAGACTTGTGTATAGACAGTAAAAGTGGAAGCTTCACTTCATTGTCTGTCAGTAAGAACTTCAAGAACTTCCCATCAGGACTCAACAGATGGATCTGTTTGTTGTTAAATTCAGTAACAAGGATGTTACAGAGGGAGTCACACACCACATCAGTTGGAGTAAATTCAAATGTTAATTTTTGTCCATGGTACAATGGTACCAGTGGATCTGTACTGGTGACTGTAGAGACAGATCCTGATAGTGACAGACAACCGATGGAATCGTCACTACTATCAGTTAAATAAACATCACCAGTATCATTCACACACATGTCATAAGGAATGATTCTAAACTTCTGTTCTTTTACACCTTGCTTGTTAACCTTTTCTGTATATTCTGATTCATCTTCACTTACATAACATTGGTCTTCACTAAATGTCTCCAACACAATTATATCTTCATCTCCATATTGAAATGAATTTATTTGAGTCACACTAATGTGATCTATATCCAAAGTTTTTCCAACCAAAGACTCAAGTAAGTCATCATTGATTACACCCCTAGTGAACCTCACTGAATGTTCACAGTTTATTGTATGAACCTCCAATTCAGACAGCATTCTTGTCAGTTCTCTGTGGTTGTCAATCAAGCTGTAATCTGACATGGTGTTGTTGTTCTCCTCCATGAATTCCACTGTGTCAACAATTCCTCTCTTCTTCTTCTCTAACTCAGATTTCACATGATTCAGTTGATCATTCTTTTTAACTAAATTGTCTCTTAATTTTTGTTCATGACGTTTTTTGATTTCTACCAGCCTGGCTATTATTTCATCATAATGCTTCTGTAGCTTTTCAAGCTCAGAGTCACACAGTTGTTTATTTTCTGTGATCTGTTGTGGAATCTTCTCTATCTTTTCATCAATCCCAGGCAGATCCTCTTCCTTCATCTTCTTCAGAAATGAAAGTAAACCTCTCCTCCTTTGAGTGACTGCCGCGGTCAGAGTTTTCCAATCATGATCTCTATGATCTGTTTTGGCACACTTACCACAAATGAATTTATCACAGTCCTCACATATCATATCAATAAGTAAATCATGGGATTCACACATTACAATGTGCTCTTGAGGAGAGCCCAGTGGATATTTTATTGAGGTACTGACAGCCATTTTGTTGGGTGTAGCGTACCTGAATGACCTAGTTTTTAGTGTGCTTATCAGGTAACCACAGGGTGTGAAGTTGGACTTTACAGTTATTCAATGTGACACTTGAATATGCAATGACATGTAAACATAAAGGTGTTTTATCTTTTAAAAGTTGATTTCATTGACAATTAGTTTTTCAGATACAAAAAAAAAATTCTGAAATAAATGTGAGATGTCCTGTTGGGCATTGCCATCACTATTACTGTCATGATGAAATTTGGTGAGACATATGACCCATTAATAATTTGGCCCTTAGGGAGTGTTCCTGCATGAGAGTTAGGAGAGCATTTAGTTTACTTGATCTAAAATAAGGTATATCGTACTTAAAATGCTTAGAGAAAAAAAAAAGGGGATGGGGGGTTGAGTTGGAAATGATAACTTGGGAACATGCCAAAAGAAAAAAAAACAAGAATGTCTCATGACTGTGACCAAAATTAATATTTTGTCAAGTTGAAGGTCATTGGAATCAAAAATATTACTAATTAGTGCCAAGGCCAAACTGTATTTACAGAGAAGTGCTAAAGCCAAACTGTATGTAGAGAAGCTTTGCAAGCTCATGCACTTGTGCACATGTACCTATATCTAACAGAAATTTGCTTAGGAAGTGAGTCAAAATAGATCCTAAACCAGGGGAGTAAGGTCACTACAGAACAGCATGGAGACAGTTTAACATTCAGTAAAAAAATCGATGAACAATGGTTGGAGAATTTTAGCATTATGAAAGAGAATGATCTTTCATCTGGAGAAGGCTTACTGAAAAGCTCTTTATTTCCATCAAGAAACACTATACATAAACCATTTAGCACACAATGTTTACTTTTGCATATGGGTAAAAGATTTGCAATTGCCCCTGACTAGGTGTAAATATATGCTTACAGTTTGTTTTTTCTTTTGTTTTTTTTTTTTTACAAATATGAAAGTCTGTTTACATCTGAGTAAAGCTCACCAAATAAACAAGGTAAAATTATTGAGATAATCATTTTTAACAAGTTGTCATTGAAGTACCTTGCATTTTCTAAGTCTCTGCTGTGGATACTACCCTTATTTTTACTTAAGGACATACGCAATATACATTGTACCTTACCTACTGATAATTTTTCTGTAGGCCAGGTCACAATTTGTCTGTAAATAATTTTGATTTTAATTGTAGGATAAAGTGAAGCTTGATCAGGAAGTAAAGAGAAAACTCCAGGAGATCCAGAATCTGCAAGATCAAGTGGTAGCAGGAGAGGTAACTCTTGATAAAATACTGATTTGTCAAATTGTGAAATAAAGTTACTGTAAACATACTTTTATTCACATGCAATTAATATCTGCAATATTCATGAAGTTTATTTAATTGGTAATATTCATCACTCACTCACAGTAGACCTTTTTAAACTATTAATTTATGTAGAATGTTTAAAAAGGTCTAATAATAGAAAAAAAAATGTCACAAATGGATTTCAAACTAAGGAAACATGAATATTTGTGTGTCTAGTAATTGAATGTAATTTGACATTTGTAAAAATAAAAAGTATTGAAATGACTATTAATTTTTAGAAGTACAGTGATATGCAAATACTAGTATTGGTACTGTGAACCACTTGACTTTTATTACAGAGTTTTAAATCCCAGTATGAGCAGTTGAACAAGTCATTGCTAGAAGACAAAGACAAACACGAACAGGAATTAAAAGATGCCAACAAGAAAGTCCGTGAGTTAGAGCTCAGGTAAGTAACACAGAAACATAAACAGGAAATAAAAGACGCCAACAAGAAAGTCCGCGAGTTAGAGCTCAGGTAAGTAACACAGAAACATAAACAGGAAATAAAAGATGCCAACAAGAAAGTCCGCGAGTTAGAGCTCAGGTAAGTAACACAGAAACATAAACAGGAATTAAAAGATGCCAACAAGAAAGTCAGCGAGTTAGAGCTCAGGTAGGTAACACAGAAACATAAACAGGAAATAAAAGACGCCAACAAGAAAGTCCGCGAGTTAGAGCTCAGGTAAGTAACACAGAAACATAAACAGGAAATAAAAGACGCCAACAAGAAAGTCCGCGAGTTAGAGCTCAGGTAAGTAACACAGAAACATAAACAGGAAATAAAAGATGCCAACAAGAAAGTCTGCGAGTTAGAGCTCAGGTAAGTAACACAGAAACATAAACAGGAAATAAATAAAAAGTCTCACAGTTAGAGCTCAAGTAGGTAAAGAAAATAAAAGACACCAACAAAGAAGTACTGAGTTTAAAAAGAACTCTAGTAAGTAAGGAGAAAAAATAAATTTGAATTTTTTTTTTTTTTATCTTGCAAAGAAAAGTTACATGTGCTGTTTCATCCACATTTTCATGGGAGGGAGGTAGAAATAATTGTTGAAATATTTATAATAATATTATATCTCTCTTCTAATTGTTCTACATTTTATTTTTCAGTCAACAAAGGCAGGAATCACAGATAACAAAATTGAAAGGTACAGTTAATTGACACCCCCCCCCCCCCCCACACACACACACATACTTTTTTTCCCCAACACATGCACACACTTTTTTTTCTTCGAAATAATTGATTGTATGAATACATTTTCACATTTTCATATTAACAAATTTTGCTTGCCAAGTAAATACACGTATTAATCATTGGTCTTATAATGACCATAAAAGGTGAGCAATTAAATATTGAAATGAAGTTCTTGTATTGGCTAATTTATATTGGCCAGAAATTTATGAATTCATGCCCAGATGCCCAGACAAAGTATAAGCTTATGGTAGAGTAGATCTTCTGTAGGACTTTTCCTTATCTTGTCAAATAAATGATGCTAACTATATCTCCTCAAAACTTTAATATCATAGACAGGTTTTGAATTGATATGACAATCATACAGCAATATACATATATTTCTTCCAATTAAATAAGGTATATCTACATGCTTAGATATTAAAGAAAGATACTTTTTTCAATAATGGACATAGTCACATAAGTTGAAGTGTAGTGCAAAATTGAAATGAATAATGTGAAAGATGTTTCAGAGAAGTACTATATTGCATTGTGCTTTTTAATTTCATTGAGTATCCATGTAAGAAATTGAAAATATACAGAAGTAGACACATACAAGAATAAGAATTTAAGATGACACAAAACACAAATTGCAGTAAAATGTTACATTAAATGTATTAAGCTTAATGAATATATATCGACAACAGAAAAAAAATATGTAGGCGGCAACTCTCTTTCAGTATTGTTTTAAAAGTGTTCTATGGAGAGATAACTCTGTCTTGCATGAGAGCTACTAGCTGCAGAACTGTAGCTCTCTGGTTGAGAAAATTCAGAGACAACCCAGAGAGCTACTGATCCAAACATTGTCAAACCTTCAATTTATATGGCGCCATTTTTCTTTGTTTTATTTCTTGTTTTATCTGCAATACCTGCCAAAATCATGGTATCCATTAATATTTACATGTACAATACTTGAATCTATTGCTCTTTGGTTTGTTTGTCCACATTTTCTCAGCAGATAGCTACTGTTACAGTTTTGCAGCTAGAGAGGCACATGCTTCTGTTCTTTGTAAAAGGAGTTCAGAATTTACACATCTTAATATTTTGCAGAATAATGAGAAGCTATTTGAAAATAAAATTATAAAACATTGCTATGGAAAATTTTCGTAGTTTCGTTACGGAAAGAATGAGCACAAATAGTAGATGCCTGTATTATCTGATATCAAATTTGATATGCACTCATTTTTTCCCAGTTCATAAACAAAAAGTATCTAACATTTGTATTACCCTCCCTTCTTAGTCCTAATGTAAAACCTCTTCCTAAAATTGAGAAATCCTGAACCCATTATTTTTAAGCAGTCCAAATATTTATCCCAGCCCCCTAACTTTTAAGCTCAGAACTCCTGATACTAAGTTCGGATAAACAGTTCATTGTTGAGAATGAAGTTGTTATAAATTTATTCACTTCAGGGTGACATTTGATGTCAAGTACCATTAGCATAAGAATTTTAAATCTGGCAAATATTTGTTGTAGTAATATAACTCATTGACTTTAAGATAAAAAAACTCTGTAGTCAGCACTATGCAGGGGGATGTTTCTTCAAGTTCGTTTTCCTTTTCCTGCTCTGTATAAATTGATGAATCCCACAGCCAATGAAAATCAACACAAGTACTATATTTATCCCCATCACTATCATGGCCTCCGTGAAGTACGATGGCATAACGTAAATTATTAACGTTCCCGTTGCGTTCATATCTCGTGATGAAGTCGTACAGATATATTCTCCCTCGTCTCCTTTCCTGATATTGGAGATTGATAATGTTCCATTATTATCTTCAAACCTAGAATCAATGCTGTCTTTTATTGAGGTTTGGTTAGGAAAAAGCCACATTAATTTTGCTGACTCGTTTTCTGGGTCGGTGCATTCGAATGTGGTGGTTTTCCCGGCCTGTTCAGCGGCCTCTGGTGGTGAGACTTGGAGTGTGTGCTCTGCATCCTCAGCAAAAACAAGGGAGATAAGCAGAAGTATGGCAAATAGTGTCCTGGGGTTGGTCATCTTGCACTTCAAGCTAGGAAAGAGGAAATTTACTAAGTCTTAACTTCAAGATAAATATCTTGATGCAATCCAAATTTAGCTTGCTCCTGTTTCAGCTTGTTACATATTTATTCATTTGTGAAATGTATGTTAGCAGTGTTATTATTCTAAGTTTTAGTTTGAAAAAAATCTTATCTATAAGTCTAGAGTAATTCACAAAAAAATCAATAAACTGATAGGAAATTCAGTAGTGATTAGATATTCCCTGGTCGATTTTTAAATATAAAACTGACTGTGTGGGTCATAAAAAAAGCCTAGACTAAATAGTGTAGCTCCTAATAGTCCAAAATGAAAGTGTCTATTTTTAACAATTAAGGAATTGAGATGATAACTAGCAATGTTATGCTTGTTTTTTTTTTGTTTTTTTTTTTGTTTTTTTTTTTTTAAATTTTGGACTTTTGACAGGATATACTGCAATGATAAGACATGCAGGATATGATTTCTGTATATCATATAGGTGTACAGCCTTATCTTCTAATGATCTTCCTGTAACACCCATCCCTCTACTTTCAGTTTATATCTTGGTTGCACTGTTGAGTATTTGACTTCATCCTTTGTCGTGATAATTTTACAAAGTACTTTAGACCCATCTATTATCTATAAATTGTCTTTTATTTCATGTGTGAGAATATCTATAGTGCTAGAATCAAATATATTGTTATGAAATGGGCTCCAATGTTTAATTGAATCTGTACAAACTTGACAGAAATGTTGAGAGTTCCTTGAGATGAACTTTTAGATTACTGGGTACTTATTGTCTTAAAAACTCAGAACTAAACAAATGTGTGTCAAGGATATTATACTGTCAATATAGATTATACAGTTATATATAGTCATACATTGATTTCAAAAGCTAAGGCAGGTGATTGAAGTCAGAATTGGTAGATAAATATAGGTACTATACTACTAATTAAGTCACTCACCAGTTTAATGTCTTCCTGTCACATTGTTCTTTTTTAACCCACTAAGTACTAACTCCGTAATTTACACAGGTAAAGGCCAAAGTATATACCTAACGTAGGTAAAACCTTATCAGGGGGTTCAAGTTACATCAGATGATAGCAAACAGTCGGGAGATTTAAATACCCTCCTATCTAACAAAGCAGGCTTTTATACAAATATAGTGACACATACCTGCATATATGCACATTTCCTACAAGTGTGTTTTCTTTATATATCCACAATTCAGGTAATATAATAGATTAATAAGAAATAGTGTATGTGGCTTTATTTTTGGCTATATTTGATGGAAATTCCTGTAAATAATTTGAATCAGAAAGGGTCAGGAATTTTTTATGTTTTTTTTTATGGCTGTCTAAACTGCAACATGAATCTGCCTGTGAAACAAAATGAATGAAGGACTTGAATTTACAACCAAATTTTAATCAGAGAGGGTTTATAACTTACAATTACGTGATACCTAATATGACACCAACAAATATTTTTTTTTATGTGAAAAATTATTGCTAATCCTTTTAATATGTTTAATTTCTAAATCTGTTATTTGAGGCACCAAACTTGTAGAATGTGGCTATCTTTGGAGGACTAGATGGCTAAGAAAAATGCAAAAAAATGCTTTCAATGCACAATTAGTTTGGAAAGAAAATAAAACAGTGCTATAAATTTTAAATTCCCATGGTTAAAAGAAATATATTAATCAGCAAACTACTTCACGAAGGAATGTAGCACAATTAGAAATACATAAATCATTCTGAGAAATGTGGTCTAATTGACATCCACGAATCTACCTAGTCATGCATTTACATATAAGTTAATTGATTATAGATCACCCATATCTAGTAACACTTACCCATTTAATATGTGAATGAACATGTGCTCTAATGTTTGTTTAACCTGATTTTAAGGAAAGAAAAGTAGACAGATATTTGATAAATAAACACCCAGACAGATATGTGTAGGAGACAAGTATACTTATTATGATAAAATTTAACCTAACTACAGAGACTATAGAGAATTAACAGGCCCATGGGCCTTGTCTTGTGCAATGACCTTCAATCAATTCTGACACGGCATGGAGTTTCTCTGTTGCAAAATTATAAAGAAAAAAAGTTTGTATGCTAGGTGCCCAGAGGTTCATTGAAAAAACAATGAAAAGTGTAACACATTTTCAATGCATAAACAAATATTTTTTTCCTTGCCCTCAGAGAGAATTTGAAGGAAAAGACAGATATAATTGAATATAAATTCAATCTTGTACTAAAATGATTACCTGGTATCAGGACTTGTATAAAATGTGTTATGTTTTTCCTTTTGTTTTGTTGCAGAAGACAACAAAGTTTTGAAAAGAGAGAATGGAAAAAGTCAAAAGAGAGAAAGAAAGACAGAGGAAAGCCTGGCTAAAGCACAGGTAGGTCAACAAAGGTCACAGGAAGGTCAGGTTCATGTTATACTATGAAAGAAATTTAAGGGCGGTAGAAATTATTACTGAAAGTCATACAAATTATTAATAAGTGTAATAGATTTAACTATGGCTTATGTCCAGTATACATCTAAAGCAACACTGTTGAGATGATGATCAAGTAATAAAGTTTTTCATTTTAGGCGTGTGTTTTTATTTCAAAAATCTGTGTATTAACTCACTTAATATTTTAAGCATTTCTCTTCATTGATAAGTAATATTTTTACTATAGTGCCTGTGCTGTGTATGTTCCATTTACTTGATGCTGCACCTTTAATTGATCAAATGAAAATACTTTATTGATACATGAAATCTTTTATAACCTGTCTGATTCTGTTACAGGAGACAGTTAACAGATACAGGCAGATTTTAATAAGACATGGTAAGTTGTAACAGTAAACAAATTTGATAACTATATGTCTGTGTGCAGGTAAATAAAACATATTATATAAAAGGATGACACGGCCTTTATCAAAAGATGCAACCCTCATCAGTAAAGCTATATGTAACATCCTTTACATGGATTCAATTATAACACTCAGGAATGTTGACTCTTGCTTACTGTAAGTAGTTTGTGATGGATTCTATTTTTCAGTAGTAGTTTATATTTCTTTACCTTCCAACAGGTCTTCTACCTAACCAGGACAAACTGCTGCGCATCACAAAGGGGGAGGGGACAGGTGCCCCTCCTGAAGAGATGCCCCAACTGGAGGAGGGTCTGTATATATATTGGACTTGTCTATTAAAAATCATGATGAAGTTGTGCTATAATTCTTTCTAAAATGTTGGATTAAATTTTGATTGTAGTTTCAAAGTATTTCTTAGGGTTTTTAATAAGCATGTATGCTGTAAACCAGTTTTTATTTATGTGCGAGAATTCTCAAGTTTCAAGTCATCTAAAGAATTCTCCTCGAGTTTAAGGTCATTTCTTACATGTGAATATTTCTTGCCATAAACCGTGTACCATGTATTTATTTGTGTATTTATGTAGAACATTTTGTCAGTCAAGAAAAATAATAGTCAAAGATGGATTTCAAACCAACAAATTGAAATCAAGAATAGTCATGATAGGTGGAATACAGTGCATGTATAAAGTTTTCTTATTTTTCTTTTGACTCCTAAATAAGGTTTTTGAATTTAATGTGAACAATCAAGTATCTTCATTGACAACTTTTTTATGTTTTATGTGGATTACACACCATATTTATCATATGACAGGGATTTATCTTACAATACCACTAAAATGGATCATTATATTTCACAGAAGAGTGGGTGGATTCAGCTTCTGCCTCTGATAAAGAACAATACTCTGACTTAGACAATCCCAGAATGCACTGCAAGGTCAGCATGACAAAGATGAAGTCAGAAACCGTCTGCTCAGAGGAGAGGAAACGGAAGATAGAATTCCAGGAGGAGGACAACAGCTTACTGGAATTCCCCTTCACATTCAGCCCCCTAGTGTCAATTCTGTCTCCTCTTCCCCCCTCCCCACAGTCATATAGAAAGGTAAGATGTACAGTCCCAATTATCTCCCCCTCTCTCAGTCATCTACTGAAAGGTAAAACATACAGTCCTAAGTATCTCCCCCTCCCCAACATACTTATAGAAAAGATATACAGTCCCAATTTTCTCCCCCTCCCTTACATACATAGAAAGAAAAGATATACAGTCCCAATTTTCTCCCCCTCCCTTACATACATAGAAAGAAAAGATATACAGTCCCAATTTTCTCCCCCTCCCTTACATACATAAAAAGAAAAGATAAACAGCACTAAGTATCTCCCCCTCCCTTACATATATAGAGAGAAAAACAGTACTAAGAATCTCCCCCTCCCCCTTTACATACATAAAAAGAAAAGATAAACAGTACTAAGTACCCCCCCCCCCCCTCCCTTACATACATAGAGAGAAAAGATAAACAGCAATAAGTATCTCCCCCTCCCTTACATACATAGGAAAAAGATATACAGTCCCAATTATCTCCCCCTTTCTCACTCCTAAGAAAGGTAAAACATACCATTGCAATCATCCAGCCTCACAAGTCCCAAACATAAGTTAGACAGTTCCAAATTTCAACCCACTAGAATCCCACAGATGTTTAGAAAAGCAATATCTTGATAAAAGTCTAGTAACAAAGAAAAAAAATTACAAGCAGGTTGAAGTTTAAAGCTTTTTGATTTTTTGATAAAACTGATATAATTCAATTGAGAAATTTTAAGTAATTAATTATTTGTTGACTGCATATATCTTCAGTTAATTAATATGCTGTTACATGTTTTCTAACACTTCTGAAATATCATAGAGATGAGAAATATCCTAATTTAATGCTCAAATGCATTGAAACTTATCTATGAAAAATTGTGAAATATAGACTTTTGAATTTAAGTGAAGTTCATTTTTTTTTTGCTTATTAGGAAGTAGAAGATAATGATGAAAGCGATGATGATTTGGATGAAATGGCAGAACAACTAGAACAAGAAATCTTTAATGTTTCACCTACCCCCAGAAGGTCACCAAGGAAACGCGTTCCACCTTCACCCCTCTCAAGGGATCCTAACACCACTGTGTCCACTCAGGAAATAAGAACTAAACAGGTGACCATCCACAGCCGACGGGGAAGGAATGTAACCGGTCAAGACAATGACGGAGCTACCCAGGAGCTTAGGGGAATCAAAAGGATAACATTTACTGCTGAGGAGAGTTCTAACCTTGAGGTCCTGCAGGGGGAGGTGAATTCAGAAGTCGCCCATGTGAACCCCAAACCAATACTCAGTGGTCATCACAACTCAGCATTTCAGAAATTTTCCAAAAGCTCTCATAAACAAGAGAAAGCCAGGGAAAGGATTGAAGAGAGTCTAATGTCAAAAAACTCTGGTGATTCTGGGTTTTCAAGAGATTCTAAACTTATCTGTGATATAAGTAAAAATGTGAAAGAGAACTTCACTAATATACACCATAAGAGTATTGAGTGTCTGAAAAAGCATTCTTTTAGACCGGTCAGCGAGAATCATGATGATTCGGATAGCTTGTGTTCAGAGGATATAAGATTCACCAACAAAGAAAAGGAAGATGTTTATGACGGTATTTGTGAAAAAGGTAATAAAGACATGAAATTTCTGTCATCAAAGGAAAATATAAAACAGGAACTTGATGAATTAACAGGAGAGGCTGCTGTGGATTTAGATATAGAATCTGCACTCTCTGTACGGACTTTGAGAAAATCCCTCAGCCTACCTGAAGGTGAACTTTCTTCCTCTCAAGTAGGAGCCGGCTCTCCTCAAACACGAAAGAGACGACACTTATCTTTATCCCAGAATAGTCCCAATAAAAATTCTGAAAGTTGTGATTCAAAATTGAAAGCAGTTCAGGAGAGCCCAAGAAGGTCTCTGAGAAATAAAAACAATGATGAAAGTGAACAAAAGTCCAGTGGCAGCAGTGAACTTTATCAGCAAAAAACAGTTAATGAAGAAAATTCAGAGAAGAAGTTTGTCCCTCACAAGCCACCAGTCCGAGTGACCAGGAGCAAGACTTTACTCATACCGCCTAGTGAGATTGATACCCTGTGTCAGAGGTCAAGGTCAAGAATGAGAATACCAAGTGGAAAGAAAAAGAAAGAAGGGGATTCAGAAAATGTGGAGATGAAGGTCATTAAGGAGGAGCGTGTGGAGGAGGAAATGGAAAGAGGGAACAGTGCATCGGAGGACAGAGTGGAAGAGGTGGAGAGCAATGGAAATGTCACCCGAGCCGTGTCTAGACAAGAGAGTTTGGGGTTTGCTTTACGATCACCCCCGGTCCTCAAATCCCCTCCTATTGTGTTACCCTCTGAGAAGGGTAAGCATCTCACTTCTAACAGGTTGTCATTCACTTCTGCTGGTATAGAGACCAAGGAGGATGCAGATGTGAAAGGGAGTGGTGATGGACTTGTAGTGCATCCTTCAGGAGGACACAGTGAGGTAAACACTAGTGACAGTGACACTGAAAAGAGGACAGAGGCTAGTTCTCATGTGACATGTGACTTTTCTCATATAACAAATGATTCAAAAGAAAATGTGGAAAATACTGTGAATGCTCCGTTGAATGAAGTGTCGATGGTAAATGTTGAAGCTGATGGTGTACTTAATCAAGGTTCATCCAAGGAAGACATCTTCAGTGCAGAACTGAATGTGGAGGACACTGAATTGGAGGGGTCTCTCCCTCGGCAGGGGAGCATGGGATTTATGGTGAGTAGTGGTGACTCAGGGACAGACTCGGGAAAATCCACTCCAAAGCAGAAAGGAACAGAGAAATGTATGATTCAGGCACAGGATGCAGAGAGTAGTGAAAAAAGTCTAAAAAGAAATTTGAAAAATATCGACAAAAATTCTGATACTTCAACAGTAGAGCAGAATGTTCAAGATAGTGTTAATGATATTGAAACTGCCCAATTGGGTGGTCATTCTGAGGAGGATATGAAAGAAGACTCTACAGTTAAAAATGAACTGTTTAAACAGTCAGCTCATGATTCCAGACATTCTTCTAAAATGAATGCCTCACAAACCTCAGAGAAACTTTCCGCATGTTTAGAAGATTTGGACAAACAGGAGGATGTGGCTTGTTTTTCTAACTCAACTTCAAATTCTAGTGATCTTAGTGGTGCTGATAAATATCCAACACAGACTATCAAACAATGTGACTCAAAAACCAGTGAATCAGGAAATGCTCAATCCACCTCATCTAGTGCTAGTAATTCTGACAGACCCCCCTCATTATCTGAGGGGGGCAGCAGTAGTCCCTCCCTAGTGTACATACCTAGTCTTTCAGTGCTTGTTCAGAAGTCCACGTTTTCTGCTGTGGTGGCCTCCAGCACCGTCGTCTCACCTGAGCTGGAGAACCTTCCCTCACACCCCCGCCCAGACAATACCACCACCTCCCAGTCCCCAGTCTCACCCCTGCCTCCTTCACCTTTTCATTTTTTTCTTCCCAACCCCATCTCTCCCCTCCCACCTTCACCTGTTGGGGAGATGGCTCCCATTTCCCCTTTGTGTACATCACCCTTTGATTTAGATGATCAGTGTCTTTTTGAGCCGTCTTCCAATTGTGAAGAGTCAGTGGATCATTCACTGGAGAATCCACAAGTTTTGAAGTTGAAATCATCTAAATTATCAACAGTGAAATCATCTAAATTATCATCAGTCAAATCATCCAAATTATCATTAGTTTCCAAGAAAAAAATTCAGGCAGTTGCAACTCAGAGTCATGTTTCTATAGCAACGAAGACCAGTCAGTGCAGTCAATCAAGGGAGAAAATTGTCCAGTCCAGCAGTGCTCCTCAGTCATTTCATGCAGTCGCACCACCAGATGCAATTACAGTCAGACCTCAGAAAAATAAAGATACGGCTCAGCTGTCTCAGAATCAGGAGAAACCAGGGTATGTAAACTTCCTGTAGATTCAATGTTTTATGTAATGGATAAAAAAAAAAGACAATTCTTTATTAAAAATTTTGAGGCTGGTTCATGATTAAAAGCTCATACTAAGCATATAGGTTGCATGTGATGAAGGAATGTGTTCTGACCCTGAATCAAGGTCATTTTGACAAGATCAGTGTCCAACAAAGAAGTTTCTATGATGTATAATTACATGTATGTGTTTTTTTCTTGATAAGTTGTGTAGTGCAATAGGAAATATAAATTTCCCTCTTCAAAAGGTCAAAAGCGGCAGCAGTGAGGAAACGAAGAAGTCAGGACCCCAGTACTGTCACCCCAGAGGAGAAGAAACAGGTAGATTTATTTTACTGACAGTGGATCTAGATAAAATTTACAGCAAGTGGATCAACAGTCTGATTAAAACCACCCCCCCCCCCCCCCTTTGTCCTACATGTATCATCATCAGGAGAAATGGGGGGGGGGTTAGTCAGACTAACAGATTTAAAATCATTACATTGGCAACTAGAAATCAAGATGCACATCTGATGGTGGAAATTTCTAAATGAGGACAAAGATCACTGTATTGAAAAGTGCTATATTTTGTACATACTATGAGGCCAATTATTAAATTTAATGTGAATTTCTGGTTATTCACTTATATTTACCACAGATTGGTACAAGTAATATAATGTACAGTGTCTTAAATTATTGTTATTGTATAAGTTAAATAAAATCTTATGCTTTTAATGATTTTCAGTGTTTTGAAAACCAAACATATACATCAAAAGACTCCAGTGCTCTTACAGACAAATCTAATCTTCATAAAGGTAAGAGAATTACTACCATTATCTTGATAACATTACTAACAAAGTTTCATTTAGTACATGTATCAACGAAGATAATTATATGTACATGCTTATAACAAATTAAAAGGGTAAATCATTATAACCGTTAAGTAATTGATAATATATTTTAAAGTCGAGGGGAATTATAATCACTTCGCTATAAACATCAATTCATTATAAGTGAGTTGGCTGTAAGCATGTTTTACTGTATCTTCATTGATACGTGTAGCAAATGTAGCTTTGTTAGTAATCACTTCACTATAAATGTCTATTCATTATAAGTGAGTTCGCTATAAGCATGTTTTACTGTAATATGATAATAGAATCAGTACAAGTGTCTAATCCGTTTCTTCTCATGCCGTGTCACCATAACAACTGAAAAGACAACAGGAAATCACCTTTAAAGGTGCTTAGACACAGATTTGAAGTTAATATTTACTCAAATTTTCTGTATAATTTCATGACTTATATGTTGCTATAGCATTTCATACGAAAATTTGATAAAAATCTTATTTGATCTGGAAGTTATTGAAACTTCGAATTTCTGGACGCGTTTGATAGACACATCCTTGCACTTTCACAAATTTTAAATTTATCCTTATTACTTTAGAAAAGGAGCAATTTTGTTGTTTATTAATGAAAAATATTAAAACTATAATGCAGAAATTTCAGAGTAGAAATGTAGAAAGCAAAATCCTCTCACCAGTATTGTCAGTCCGTGCTCAGTGGTGTGTGCAGAGTTTAACAATTGAACACACCCGGTGAATCGTAAACATTAAGAATAACAGAGCTCATGCCCTGTTTACAAAAACAGTTTACATTTCACGGGTGTATTCAATTTGTTTAACTCTGTACACACTACACAACACTGAGCACGGGCTGACAATACTTAAGTGAGTTGGTTTTGCTTTCGCACATTTTTATTCTCAATTTTCTGGATTATAGACGTAATATTATTCATTAATACACAACAAAATTGCTATTTTTTTTTAAGTATTAAGGATAAAGTTAAAAATTGTGAAAGTGCAAGGATGTGTTAATCAAACGCCTCCTGAAATTCATAGTTTCAATAATTTCCAGATTAAATACGTTTTTAATTTTATTTTCATGTGAAATGCTATAGCAACATATAAGTTGTGATATTATACAGAAAATCTGAGAAAATATAGACTTCAAATTTGTGTTTATGCACCTTTAACAGAAGTTAGGCTATTTGGAAAATTGAACATTTATTATTAAACTCAAGAGGGCCATGAGATGAACTTAAAACAGCCTTTGGGTCTTGTAGATTCATATACTGTAGCTTATTTTACTAAAGGTTACTTTTCCTGTCTTTTTTAGACATAGAAAAAAGTATATTTCAACCACTATTGTCTCATGAACATTTGGTTATTTTTCAAGTCTATGGCCATTGTGTGCTCTGCTTAAGGGAGACAACATATAAAATATATGGAAATGATAAATTTCCCCATGATGCTTTGTTTATGGTGTTAGAACTCTAAAGGCATTAAAAGCTCTCCTGTTTTTGTTTTTGTTTTTTTTGCAGTGATTGAGGCTGAGATGAAGTTATTTTTGGATAGACCAGACATCAGTGAGCAGGCAGTGATGGATAAACTGGTTACCCTAGCTGACCACTCCACATTGTTCAGGCAGCTACTGCAGTGGACAGTCCAGGTAAAGGGAATCTCTAAACTGATATAAAACCAGGGATGTGTTCAAGATCAGACCAGCTAGTCTAGATGCTAGCCTTAATATCTAAATCTATCGAACACATTGCATGAACTAACACTTGTTTTGGCTATGTTAGCAGGTTAGCATAGTGGTGAAGTTTGTAACCTCTAGATATAGAGCTATATAGGTACTACATGTACGCCCTTGATCCTAGCCCAGGAATGTAAATTTTAATGAAAGCATATTAACAATCCATTGTCATGTCATGATTTTTAGAAGAAATATAATATAATTGTAGACTATGGAAACAAACTGACATTATTAACTGTATTGATAAATCAAGAGTCAATTTGGTAAACATATTCCTGTATTGTGAATTTCCTGAAATGGTTTGACTCTTTGTTTTGATTTCTTTCCATTAGTACCTACGTTGCCAGCAGATGGAGCTGTTTAGTACGATTCATTGTTACTGTGCCTACAGCAGTGACTGTCAATCCAGGACCAATCCATTCCTCACTCCAGGGGAGGTCAGGCTGTTAAAGTTCTACAGCTTCCTGTTCAAAAATCCAGATTGGGTAATTCCATCTGCTTAATTTTGTCACATGACTGTGGTTGTTTAAAAATACCTTTCCAGCATTTAATAGATTGTGTATAATGCTAATGGGACAATCATTGGAAAAATCAAAAACATTACATGTATTTCCCGGGAAGCACTTGGAGAGGTGTTGCATTACTGTAATAAATTTCCATATTTTGTCAGGGCTATTTTACAAGATAATAGATTCTTCATTTATAGTGACAGTTATTAGTTTTTAAGTTGCATATACTAATGTTTGTGAAAATAATACCTTTTTCGTTGGAAAAACATGAGAATTCCAGTGAAACAGTAAAAACAAACTTAAAGTATTTCCTGATGCCAGTTTTCTACATAATGAAATCAATAACTTTAATTGTACCTTTCTATTTTTCATACAATACTTAATGACTGTTTGTAGATTGGACAGAGACATCAGCTCCTAGATTTGTTGTGGACATCCATATTTGGTCATGATTCCTTGACCCTGACCGGCAGACTGGCTCTTTGGTGCGTTTGATATTTATAGGTAAACTTCGTTTTCTCGACATCGACGGGACCATTGAAAAATGTCGAGATATCCGAGGTGTCGAGATATCAGAGTTGAGACTTGACGTCCAAGAAAAACACACAAGCTTATTATATGTACATGACTTTAATATAGATTGCAGCTCAACATATTTCAGAATTCCGTCTATTTTTATTAAAAATCTAAGAAGTTATTTTAAAAATCTTGTTTATAAAATGTGTTCTTTATCGAAATCTTTCTAAATTCACAAAGTTTTAGCACAAAGTTACAGCATTGAGCTGCATTCGCGTGTAACTACCTTTTGGTCAGAACAGGATACGAAATGCGCTCTATAAACTTCGAACCGTATAAAGTCGACATCCGATATACGGGAAAAAAATTAAATGCGGATTATTTTTTTCTTATTTCATTCAGGAAGAATGTACATTAAAATTATTTTTTTAAAGAGATTTGTGTATCTAAACTAACGTAGTGATGTTACAGATGCATGAATTACGGCTGATTCGGTCAATAAGTGTCGTTAATTGGATTGTTTCCTGTTGAATACATTTTAACCACAAAATATCATTAAAACATCTTTTAACTCCTCCATTTGAATTATTCAGTTTGTTTGTTATTCATTGTAATTTAGTTACCTTTTTTCAAATTTAAAAGTTATGCTAGGTTTCGATATAAATAACCGTCTGTCCATTTACTCAGAATCGTGTAGATTTAGCAATGATATTTTCAGGTTCAATTAACTTCTCAAAGACGCCGAGGGGGCTTGGGATTCACCTACAAACACAGTCTATAGGATTAATTAAGCAGCGTCCAGTCAAAACATGGGTGTGAAAAGGTGTGAAATTTTGACGATGTCGAGATACCAGGAGTCGTCCGTGCGACACTATCTGACAAACAGTTAGGTTCAGTAGAGCAGAAAATTGCCGATGTCGACATATACCGGGTAAATTTTGCTCTTGGGACTGTCGAGATAACCCGGGTTGTCGACATTACCGAGGTCGACATATCAGAGTTTTTGCAAATCATTTATATAGTAAATACTGCCGGGACCGCGGAAGGATGTCGACATATCCCAGGGTTGACATATCCGATGTCGAGATACCGAAGTTTACCTGTATTTATAAATCAAGTTAACAGAAACCCTCATGCTTGTACAGTTTTTCAAATTACAAGATATAATTAAACAAAATTTGTAGATTGTTATTATTTTGTAATTGCAGCCGAATGTTTGTTGGCCTTCTTCATGAGACTGGTGAGTTTTCTGACAATCAATATATCTGGAAACATGAATAGATTTTACAAGTCATATTCTGTAAACCAACTTTTATTCGTGTGTGAGAAATATCCGCGAGTTTCACGACCTACTTAAACTCACGAATATTAATGACTGTGTACCATTTATTAGCTCACCTGAGCCGAAGGCTCAAGTGAGCTTTTCTGATCACATTTTGTCCGGCGTCCGTCTGTCCGTCCGTCTGTCCGTCCGTCTGTCTGTCTGTAAACTTTTCACATTTTTGACTTCTTCTCAAGAACCACTGGGCCAAATTCAACCAAACTTGCCACAAAGTATCCTTGGGTGAAGGGGATTCAAATTTGTTCAAATGAAGGGCCACACCCTCTTTCAAGGGGAGATAATTAGAAATTAGGGAAAAAATAATGGCATCATTTAAAAATCTTCTTCTCAAGAACCACTGGGCCAGGAAAGATGAAACTTATGTGGAAACATCCTCAGGTAGTGAAGATTCAAGTTTGTTCAAATCATGACCCCCGGGGGTAGGGTGGGGCCACGATGGGGGATCAAAGTTTTACATAGAAATATATAGGAGAATATCTTTAAAATTCTTCTTCTTAAGAACAGCAAAGCCATGATTGGTCATATTTATATGGAAGCATCCTCAGGTAGTGTAGATTCAAGTTTGTTCAAATCATGACCCCCGGGGGTAGGATGGGGCCACAATGGGGGATCAAAGTTTTACATAGAAATATATAGGAAAATATCTTTAAAAATCTTCTTCTTAAGAACAGCAAAGCCATGATTGGTCATATTTATATGGAAGCATCCTTAGATATTGTAGATTCAAGTTTGTTCAAATCATGACCCCCGGGGATAGGGTGGGGCCACAATGGGGGATCAAAGTTTTACATAGAAATATATAGGAGAATATCTTTAAAAATCTTCTTCTTAAGAACAGCATAGCCATGATTGGTCATATTTATATGGAAGCATCCTCAGGTAGTGTAGATTCAAGTTTGTTCAAATCATGACCCCCGGGGGTAGGATGGGGCCACAATGGGGGATCAAAGTTTTACATAGAAATATATAGGAGAATATCTTTAAAAATCTTCTACTTAAGAACAGCAAAGCCATGATTGGTCATATTTATATGGAAGCATCCTCAGGTAGTGTAGATTCAAGTTTGTTCAAATCATGACCCCCGGATAGGGTGGGGCCACAATGGGAGATCAAAGTTTTACATAGAAATATATAGGAGAATATCTTTAAAAATCTTCTTAAGAACAGCAAAGCCATGATTGGTCATATTTATATGGAAGCACCTCAGGTAGTGTAGATTCAAGTTTGTTCAAATCATGACCCCCGGGGATAGGGTGGGGCCACGATGGGGGATCAAAGTTTTACATAGAAATATATAGGAAAATATCTTTAAAAATCTTCTTCTTAAGAACAGCAAAGCCATGATTGGTCATATTTATATGGAAGCATCCTCAGGTAGTGTAGATTCAAGTTTGTTCAAATCATGACCCCCGGGGGTAGGGTGGGGCCACAATGGGTGATCAAAGTTTACAAAGGAATATATAGGAAAAAATCTTTTTCTCAAGAACAGAAAAGCCATGATTAGTCAAATTGATTATTGATATGGAGGCATCCTTGGTAGTGTAGAATGAAATTTGTTCAGATGAGGGCCCCTGGGAGTAGGGTGGGGGCCACAATGGGGAATCAAATTTTTACAAATGAAAATATGGGAAAAAATCTTCTGCTCAAGAACAGCAAAGCCATTTGTTATATTGATATAAAAGCATCATCAGGTAGTTTAAAATTCAACCCCCCCCCCCCCCCAACTCCCCGGTAAACTTTTCAATACTGAACTGATTTTTGCTTTTTTTTCCTAGCCAATATGTTCAGGTGAGCGATGTGGCCCATGGGCCTCTTGTTTTGCTTTGTATTTGTAGAGAATGTTTCCTCAGTCGCGAAAATTAATCATCGCGGATTGAATTTAAAACAGACTAGTCAGTATATCTGGAAACATGAATAGATTTTACAAGTCTGTATTGATCAACATACATAATTACCTGTACATACAGTATATGTACATGATGTAAATCATATGACATTTTTAGCTGACTGGAGTCGGAGCCTTTGACAACTAAACCAAAATCTATTTCTAAATTACTAGGTGATATGGAGCACGTAAGGGTATTCTTTTACCATGTGATGACCTGTAAATATCTCAATGCGGCCATGATTGCTGTTACCATTGCTGGAGTATGGCCACAGTGTCTCTATAGGAACGCAACAGGTAACATAGCAACCAGAGAAGATAAGCACTGTAAACTTATTGTCAGATTAATCATTTTAGATATTTCTCCTTTGATTCAGACCCTAAGGATTATTTATGAATTTTTATGGGATATTATGAAGTCAAAAAGAAATTGAAGCTCAAATGTGTTGATTATTAAATTTTTATAAATTTTTATGAAGAGATGATACACACTATTAACTTATTCTCAGATTAATTATTTTAGATATTTCTCCTTGATTAAAACTCTAAGGAATATTAATGAAATTGATGATTAAAATTTGCACAGTTTTGTAGGCTATTATGAAGTTGAAAAAATTGATGCTCAATTGTATTGATTATTTTTTAATTTTTTCTTTTTAAATTCTTGAAAAACAAAAAAGAAACTTACTATGAAAAAGTGTAAGAGAATATTTCATTTACTTCATAATTACAACCTCTGAAGAGTACAGTCTTAGATTCTATTTTAATACCTTGCAGGAACAAGTCCAGTGTTGGTTGTTATGGAGGCTGTAATTATGAAAGAGCTACAGGAGCTTAAAGACAAGGGAGCTAAGGTAAAGTATTTTATTAGTCCCCTACCAGTAAAACCAGAGGAGACTTTAGGTTTCCTCTTCATCTGTCCAATGGCATCAATCTGTCAGTCTGTCCCACTTGGTTTTCCGCATTATTTCTATACATTTGAAGATATGAAGCTCACTTTTAGAGTCTGAGTCTACCTTGATGAGTTACTTATTAAGTTTGTATTTTGTTCCACTACGGTAATTTTTAACGGAATTATGGCCTTTCTAATTTTCAAAGGGAATAGCCCTAGTTTTGCTTATTATTGACTATTGCCAACCAAAATATTCTTGCATCAAAGTAAAGCTCAGATTTTAAGTCATTTTTGTATGCATGAAACTTTGAAGTTTATAATTCAAATGTGGACATTAAGTATCTGTTTCATAACTTTTGATTTTCTGAATTGTAGATCTCTGTTTGCCTTAAGAAGCTGGTAAATTGGGACCTTTGTGTTCACCAGAATAATGTCCTCCTACAACACATGATTAAAGAAATAGAGAAAAAGTGTGCCGATTTCCATAGCAACCAAGGTACAAATTTAAATCTTCAGTGATAGTAATGCATAGGGTCAGATTCTTTAAGACAGTCATTTTTAAATTTATTTTTTAGGTCAGATTTATGAGTTTCTATAAGCTGTTGAGTTAATGTTAGTGATGCATGAAGTTGGATTCTTTAAGAAGGTCTTCTTAAAATTCTTTTTTAGGTCAGATTTATGAGTTAAGCCGGGCTGTTGAGCTGTTGTTGGTGATGCAGAAGGTCGGTTTTTTTAAGACAGTCTTCATCGGAGTGGCAGTTAGCTCTCTAAGCAGCAAACTCAGATCAAAACAGATTCAGGCAGCGGAGCATTATGTCAAGGTCATAGTTCAAATAGCAGGTAAGGTGAAGGTCAGAGGGAATAAAGGCATTGTATTTTATTTACTACTTTTTCTTCCTATGTGTAAAAAAATTCACATATGGAAGAAAGAATCATTTTAAACATTATTAGTACAAACTTTATACATTTGAATGTTTAAAGTATGAGCTGATATACTGGCTCTAAAGGAACTTAGGACTAAGACTAAAAACTTAGTTGATTGTAAAATATTGCAAAATTAATGAATCTGTTTGAAATTGCTACCATAAAAATATATTTTTAATTTCTTTTTAGAAAGATTCAGACCAATTTCAAATCAATATAAAATAGAATGTTATTTGCAGAATCAAATTTTGGTCTTAGTTGTAAGTTCTTTTGTAAAACGGGCCCCAGGATTTTTGTTAAACTTTTATCATATTAACCTATATTTTAATTAAAAGAATCTTTAGAAAATTTACATATTTTATTTCAGGAAGTGTTCTGCTGCAGCTAACCACTATGAATGAGAAAAACTTGTCTCAGATCATACGGAAATACATCTCTAAAATCCTCCTGTCTGATTCAGGTAAAAGAACTATTAATTTATATGAATCATTATGTGAAGTCCAAGAGTACTACTGATTTCATGCAGGTTTGGTAATGACATTTAGCTCACCTGAGCCAATGGTTCTAGTAAGCTTTTCTGATCAATGGATGTCTCTCCAGCATTTGTCTGTCAGCTCTGTTTACTCTTCACATCTCCAACTTCTTCATTTCCAGAACTGTTTGGGCCAAATTCAATCACATTTGACACGAAATATTTTTGTGATGATGGGGAATCAAATGTATTCGAATGAAGAGCCACACCCTCTTTAAATTTTTGTTTGTTCAAATTATTGCCCTTGGGTGTAATGTTGGTACTACAATAAAGTATCAAAGTTTTACATAGGAGAAACAGAAAAATCCTCAAAATTGGTGCCTAGGTTAAACTGTACAGAAGCATTGAATCAAAATTGTCTCTTAATGTTTGTTCATGACGTTTTTTTTTTATTTCTGTCAGCCTGGCTATTATTTTGTCATAATACCTCTGAACCTTTTCAATCTCAGAGTTACATGTACACAGTTGTTTATTTTCTGTGATCTGTTGTGGAATCTTCTCTATCTTCCCATCAATCCAAGGCAGATCCTCTAGCTTGATCTTCTTCGGGAATTTAAGTACGGCAAATTTACAATGAACTTCCCAAGCAACGGTGGCATTACTCCTCTATCAATAGTTTTCGATAAATTTTTATTTTCAATGAATATAAAGCATATTATTTAATATCTGTTGGAAATTATTTATTTTTTTCAATTTTGATACCTGTATGGCATTCCTTAAAATTTCTCCACATAAATATCAAAATACTGAAAAACTGTGGTTACCATGGCAACCATATCATTCTTATAACCCTGATGATCATAGTTGATACTTTCATATTTTGATAACATTAACATAAGGCAAGTTATATCAGAAAAATTCATTGAGAGGATTTTTCTTCATGGACCCTTGCAATCTATTCCTTACAAGCAATGATTTTCATAAGAAATAAAGGAGATGATTCAGTGGATACATTCAGTGGATGTAAATATATTACAATATTTCCATTTGAAGTAGAAAAAAAAATTGAAAATATTTCTTTATATGATTTGAAATTGAATTCAAATATTTATTTTATGAGGAAGCTAATTTATACTGGCATGCAGATACTCCCAACCATTTGGTTTTTTCTTTTCTTCAAATTATGGAGATTGGGGTAAGGGATGGGATAAAATAAGGAATAAACCTTTTTTTAAAATCTTTTTCTATTCTATAATCTTATTCTTTTGTGAAGTTCAGATTGGCAGGTCTTTTTATGATCATGTTGGAATATATTAAATGTGTTAGACTCTATCTTCCCATTTAAAAAATTGAGTAAAATAATAAAATTTATTATTTAGAAAAAAAATCCCTTGTGGTACTCAGCTGACGAGACTGGAGAGGTAATCATATTGATATACAGGTATTCCTTTACCACGTTGGTTCAAATTGTTTGAGTTTTTGACACTCAAGATGGGGTGAGGTTTTAAATTGGGGAAAAATTTTAGGTAATACATGTATAGATTAGAAAATCTATTTCCCTTCTTCTCCAGAACTACAAGGGTAGCATTATTGATATATTCAGAATCTCCCTGTATTGTGGATTCAAGTTTAATTAAGCCTGACCCATTGAGACTAGGATGGGGCCATTTATGGGGTCAAACTTCTCATCGGTTTGTAAAGGAAAACAATCTTAGAAATCTCTTTTTAAGAATAGTAGGGGCTAAGAAAACTCAGGTGAGCATTTTTGGTCCATGGGCCTCTTGTTTAATTATGTTATAATGTAATATGATAAAACATTTCCATTTTAAATTGTGACAGTATGTCATTTGACCATGTTAGAAGTCATGCTTGTGTGATTTATGACGGAATACATTTTGCTTACAAGCATATTATACAAAAATTAATCACAGAATTTTATATATGTAAATGATATATCTATTTTTACAGCGAGTCAGAATTTACAGGTGAGTGTGGCTCAGACCCTGCTGGAGTTGTCTTTCCTGTCACCTGTAACAGTAATGTCTGGCTCTCTTTACCCATGGTTCCTTGCTCGTAAAGATGTGATCCCTGCAGACTTTGTCTGTAAACTTGAAAACACAAGACAACTACTGGTCAGCCAGTTTCCATTCTTCCGATGTCCTGCCTTTGAGTAGACAAAGAAAAAAGTTAAAATTAGAATTCTAAAACCATGAAGACATTGATCATGAATATAATTTATGTGCATCTTGTGATGAAAATACCTGTGTGGGTTTACTTATGGTGCCTAAGACTCAAGTCTACAAACAAATGAAACAATTGTTTCTCCATCAGCTGTATTGAACACCATCTCCAAGGTGCTCTTTTTTGCATCATGTGATGGGAACACCATCTTAATATAGAATGAGAAGTGCCATTTACATGTACCATTACTATCATCAGTGTATGTGTCTCTCTTTTCAGTTTGTGTCACAGGGTACATGTACAAATGCTATTTTTTCTCTGTGATAGTGCCCATTCAGTACTTATGTTAATCGACTGGAGATGAAGAAAGACTTTGTATTAAATAAATGTTCATATTCAAAACTTCAAATATCTGTCTCACAATTCTTTTTAGGGAAGCCTACAAAGTTCCAACACTTCCTGTTGTATGCACACAGTGCATGATACATTTCTATTCAAGTGGAACTCTCATCTTTGTTTATCTTTTTTTTTTTTGGGGGGGGGGGGGGATTACTAAGTATAAATTTTTGAAATTTATTTAATAGTACATGTACAGTTGAACAATTACACATTTCTTCATGTTTATCAGCTGTCAAATGAATGTGACAATTAAATGACTTACCTTGTTAGTGGTACAAAATCCAAAATGGATGAGAATATTGTTTAATTAGGTATGTCCTTTGAAAAAGTATAATATTTCACTGATATATTACAGGTACCTAGGGAAAGCTATTGAGTATTTGATACTACAGCTGTAGGTACATAACATTGTTTTACATTGCATTTTTTTGGTTACCTATAAGGACTTTATATGCTATTTATTTGTGCCAATTCCTTGATAGCATTTTGTTTATAGCTTGAATGAATTACATGTACTTGTATATATACAAACTGAATGTTTATATGATTACAGTAGTGTAAATATAGTTGTAAATATAAGTGTGCATGCATTCTTTTCTAATCTGTAATGTAGTATAGTTGCTTATCAAAAACAAATTTATATTTTATTATTTTTGTTAGAGTGTTGACAGATGTAAATTAATTTAAGTGTACCTTAATAAATGTTGTAGGACATTTATTATACAAGAAGTTTGATAAAATATTTTACAAGATACTCATCAATTGAAAATTTGTCTTTTGCTTTCTTTTTTTATAAATCTAAGTCTTTATGAAAAAAGTTTTGAAATCTTATTTGTTTTCCATTTTCAATTAAGCAGATACTGTGTAAGGTATACAACTATACATGCATATAACTTAACAAGGGGGTTGGACACGGTTAGACTATTTCGTTTACAATTTTAAATTTCGCTTTTTATTCAGAATTTTTTTTTTCAGAAATCAGCAGTATACCTTTCTCTTGTAGATTTAATTCACATAGGTAGGTAAATAATGTTTGCCCATTTTTACAAGATGGAAAAACTTACAGTTTTTCATGTTATTTCTATTCAAAATAAGTAAAAATATAAATGTCAACCAAGGTCGCCCCAATATCATAAACTGAAAGCAGACGAGTCAAAATTTCAAACAAATTAAAAAAAAAAAATTCATCATACATGTATATTTAAATTTAAGGACAGACGATACATTCCTCAATAATATATATTTTTTTCTAAGATTTTGTCATTGAAGTATTGCTACTTTAACATGTTTACTCGCAAAAAATTGAGGTACCTTACCAGGCATTTGTGCAAGATACCAGAGGATGTTTTTCCTATAAAATCCTTTTGGAAAAAAACTTAATTAGCCAATAACACATTTTTTGGTGTTTCATTTTTTAAAGAAAATTAGAAATCAGTTTAGAAATCAGAAGGTAATTAAAATTTTGGAATATTTTCCACATAATTCGAAGGTATACAAAACAGATATTTGAGGAACGTATCGTCTGATCTTAAATGTTATATATAATAGCAATTTTTTTAAGTAAATACTTTAAATAAGACTCAAGATATCATAAATCAAATTATTATACTGATGTATATCATAATTTCTGAGGGTTGGATTTACCTGATACTACAGTTCGATAGTAAAAACATGAAAAAAAAATAATTATAAACGTTTTGAACAAGTATTTGGAATGAGATACATGTAACATTGCTAGAATGAGCTGAAATCCTGATGACGTCACAATGCTACTGAAGTCAGGATGACATCATAAGTCTATAGATTGATTACAGGAAATCAAAATTGACGGCAAAAATTGCATGAAAATTTTCCGAGGGGTTGATAGCAAAAAAAACTATACCCCGGGGTATAGCTTTGCTATGTGTGGAAATTTTAAGACTATAAAGATAGTTATTTTACCTTCTTAACTTTATATAGGAAACATTTTAACAGAAGTATAATAATATCATTTAGTTAATCCAAGAAAAAAAGGATCGTTCGGGATTTGAACCCGGGAATTGCTAAGCAAGAATCATACTCCTAGACCACAGAGGCACTTGATTATACATATATATTGCCAAACCCCCTAACTCGTCACTACCCTTACTCCGTCACTTTCGGGAAACTCCGCACTGTTTGTAAACGAATGCGATTATGGCGTCATTTTTTACATGCTGAAAATTTACAATCAATTGCCGAGAAATTATGACAGTCAAGTTCAAGAATGCGTCTAGAATAAATAACAATTACACGTGATTTATTGTACCTATAATATTTTATGTGAAATCAGTAAGCACATTTTTCATTATGTGCTATTCCATCGATATCTCCGACATGTTCGTCAATATGCTCATTTTTATATGTCAGTCGTATTTATGAAGGTCTTTGACAAAGGATTAATACCTAAAAAGACATAACATATTGAATATGGCTAAACATATTTCATTTTTCGTCTCATTTTGTCCTAATACGCTACACGTTGGAGATAACGTAGCGTGACGTTATTACATATAAAATATATTAAGGTTATTTTTTCTGTTGTTGATACAATTTGATGATTTTTTATAAAAATACAACTCTTTTATGTGAAATGAATTCAAATACTATGTACATTTATATTACAATTTAAACACTGTATTGAAATACTTTGACAAGTCCTTCATCATATCCCACCCACAATGTAGACTTGTACAGTGATAATTTGACTGGATGATTCACTTCATTGTCTGTCAGTAAGAACTTTAAGAACTCTCCATCAGGACTCAGCAGATGGATCTGTTTGTTACGTGGGTCAGTAACAAGGATGTTACAGAGGGAGTCACACACCACATCAGATGGATCAAAGTTCTCTGTCAGGTTCTGTCCATGGTACACAGACTTCATGCGACCAGAGGGAGACATAGTCAGTAGAACACATGTAAATTCATTTGTACAGTTTGCAACACAGATATCACAGTTACCGTTCTGAGTGATTCTGTATGGCAATGTTAACAGTTTGGTCTCACCGTCCTCCTGGTACTCATACTCATGGATGACGTCACCTGTCATTGTGATGTGTCTCAGCAGATATCTGCAGTGTGACTCTAATGTGTTGAGATCTAATGTTGCTTCTGTCAAGGTGACCAGTAGTCCACCACTCACTGACTGACAGATTCCTCTTGGTACCAGTGAATCTGTACTGAAGACTGTAGAGACAGATCCTGATGGTGACAGACAGCTGATGGAAGTGTTAATAGCATCAATAAAATAAACATTGTTATCAATCACACACATTTTGTCACATGTACCAGTGATTCTAAATTTATGTTCTTTTGCACCTTGTGTATTGACTTTTTCTACAGACTGTGATAAAAATTCTTTGATGTAACTTTGGTCTTTACTGAATGCCTCCAACAAATCTATTTCACTATCACCATATTAAATTAGTTTATTTGGCTCACATTAATAACATTTAAATCCAAAAATCTTCCAATCAAAGATTCAATTAAGTCATCTTTATTTCACCTCTAGTGAACCTCATTGAATATTCACAGTTTGTCATATGAACCTCCAATTCAGACAGCATTTTTGTCAGTTTTCTATGGCTGTCAATCAAGCTGTAATCTGACATGGTGCTGTTGTTCTCCTCCATGAATTCAACTGTGTTAGCAATTCCTCTCTTCATCTTGTCTAACTCAGATTTTGCAAGGTTCAGTTGATCATTCTTTTTTACCAAATTCTCTCTCAATTTCTGTTCATTGCGTTTTTTGATTTCTGCCAGTCCGGATATTAGCTCATCAAAATGCTTCTGTAGCTTTTCAATCTCAGCGTCACACAGTTCTTTATTTTCTGTGATCTGTTGTGGAATCTTCCCTCTCTTTTCAGTCATCAATTCCAGGCAGATCCTCTTCCTTTATCTTTTTCAGGAATTGAAGCAAACCTCTCCTCCCTTGGGTGGCTGCTGTGGATAGAGTTTTCCAATCATGATCTCTATGATCGCATCTGGCACAACTAGCACAAATGAACTGATTACAAACGTCACATACTATATCAATAGGTAATTCATGGGATTCACACATTAGAATGTGCACCAGCGGAGAGCCCAATGAATATTCCTCTGGGTGGCTTTCAGCCATGTTTGCCGGATGTCAGTGACTTAGTTATTAGTTTGTTCTTGTACGCATCGTAGATAACCTGAGGATTGTGAAGTTGGACTTTACATTTATTCAGTACGATGTGCAATGAAATGTAAACACACAGGTGTATATTATGATATTACACAAGATATCTATTTGATCTGAAAAAATATTGAGATTTTTTTTAATTTCAGTAGTTGCAAGAGGACTCGAATTCATATCGAATGGCAAATATTCCCCACATTGTGTGGATTCAAGATTCATTTTTTGCAGTTTATAGGGTTAGATACGGGTTGGGCTAAAATAAGGGATCATTTATTTTATTCATCACCGTGTGGTTTAGCCTTGCAATGTTTAGTAAAGTTCAGATTAGAAGGTTTGTATAGGATCATGCAGATATATTTTGGATATGTCAGACTCTACTTTTCTTCAAAAATGAATTGATAAACGATAGAATTACTTATTTAAAAAAATAATTGTGGTACCCAGCTTATGAGACTGCAGAGTTAATCATTTCAATACTCAGACATTCTTTCAGCATGTTGATTCGGGTTTGTTTGAGTTATTGATACTACAGTGATAGTTAACTTGGGGATAAAATTTTAATTAATACATGTCTATGCTGGATTTTTTCTTATCTACAACCGCAAGGGCATGTCTATTGATAATCAGCCTGACCCACTAAGATTAGGTTGGGGTCATATTATTGTAGACGCTTAAGGCCAAATAATAACTGAAATATCTAACAAACGGGATGACCTCCAGATCGGTTTTTCCATTGCCAACTTCTCACATGTATTTATACAGTAATATCCCAATATCGTTGACAAATGATCTTTATGTTTCCAAACTTATTCGGTACGCTAAAAACATGCTCTCTATGCTATCAACTTTTGAAATGAGGAAGAATACTGACAAATAAGTTGATTATACAGGACTTTGAAAAGTCTAAATCAAAGTCAGCATCTTGATTATTCCTTGGTAATTGTCTTATGACCTTCTAAGCAAATACATTGAGTAATTTCAGAATCTTTTTATCTTTAACGAATTTACAAAATTGCATGAAGGCCATTACTTTAATTTACAAATACGGAATTGAAAGCAAGAGCACGATGCCGTTGAATCCAAGAAAAATATATAAAATTGCAGGCCCGTAGAACGCGGGGGACAAGGCCCCCCACTTGTTCTGAGTATAGTATTTTGCTATAGTAAATTTTCCTTTATATGCCCCCCCCTTTTTTTGTTGCAGTAAGGTCGGTTGGACGGTAAATAATGTTTTTTTTTTTTTGTTTTGTTTTTTTTTTTTGGGGGGGGGGGTTGATATTTTGTTTGCTTGTTTTTTTTCGTTTGTCAAAGTATTTTGGGAAGTTGGCCCCCTCACTTTTTGATTAGTTTAGGTTTTTTTTTTTTTGCTTGTTAGATTTTTTAGGGAAGTTGCACCCCCCCCCCCACTTTTGAAACCGTTGTGTGGACAAATATATGTTCTTCCTTCAGACGAATTTAATATACTCGTATGTTAGAAGAAATTAAAAATAGATAAAATTGTTTGGACGAATTGGATGTAAGCTTGGACAGTTTTATTGAATTACATATTTGTTCGAACAAAATTGATGATTCTTCTTTTGACAAGACTTATCATTCCTCTGATAAAGGACAGCATCCAGAAAAAGTAAAGATGATACATATAGAATAATATATACTTTTTCTACATAACATCTTGTATCAGCACGAAACACCATCAGCCAAAGAGCCGAAGGCCCGAGGGCTGATATTGGTCGAGGGCTGATACAGGATGTGATGTGGAAAAGGGTATGTTTTATTATGTTTATTACATGCTTACTAATAATGAAATCCAGCACACATCTACTTGAGCAAATGCAAAATAAATAATCACTTACTGCCTTAAATTTTCATATCAAAGAACAATAATTTAAGTTAAGAGAGTGTTGAAGAAAAAATTGTAGTACATTATCACCGTTTTATAAGCTCACCTGAGCTGAAAGCTAAAGTGAGCTTTTCTGATCACATTTTGTCTGTAGTCCGTCTGTCTGGCTGTCCGTACATCCGTCTGTCTGTAAACTTTTCACATTTTCGACTTCTTCTCCAGAACCACTGGGCAAATTTCAACCAAACTTGCCACAAAGCATCCTTGGGAGAAGGGAATTCAAGTTTGTTCAAATGAAGGGCCACGCCCTCTTTCAAGGGGAGATAATGAAGAATTAATGAAAAATTAATAGCATCTTTTAAAAATCTTCTTCTCAAGAACCACAGGGCCAGGAAAGATGAAACTCATGTGGAAGCATCCTCAGGTAGTGTAGATTCAAATTTATTCAAATCATGACCCCCGGGGTAGGGTGGGGCCACAATGGAGGATCAAAATTTTAAATAGAAATATAAGGGAAAAATCTTTAAAAATCTTCTTCTCAAGAACAGCAAGGCCATGATGTGTTATATTTATATGGAAGCATCCTCAGATAGTGTAGATTCAAGTTTGTTCAAATCATGACTCCCGGGGGTAGGGCGGGGCCACAATGGAGGATCAAAATTTTTTTTAGAAATATAAAGGAAAAATCTTTCAAAATCTTCTCAAGAACAGCACAGTCATGATGAGTCTTACTTATATTGAAGCATCCTCAGGTAGTGCAGATTCAAATTTATTCAAATCATGACCCCCGGGGGTAGGGCGGGGCCATAATGGAGGATCAAAGTTTTAAATAGAAATATAAAGGAAATTTTTTTTAAAAATCTTCTTCTCAAGAACGGCAAAGCCATGATGAGTTATATTTATTCGAAAGCATCCTCAGGTAGTGTAGCTTCAAGTTTGTACCCCCGGGGGTAGGGCGGGGCCACAATGGAGGATCAAAGTTTAACTTAGAAATATAATGGAAAAATCTTTAAAAATCTTCTTCTCAAGAAGAGCAAAGCCATGATGAGTCATTTTGATATGAAAGCATCCTCAGGTAGTGTAGATTCAAGTTTGTTCAAATCATGACCCCGGGGGGTAGGGCGGGGCCACAATGGAGAATTAAAGTCTTAAATAGAAATATATGAGAAAATTTCTTCTGAAGAAGAATTGCAAATCCATGATGAGTTGGGCGACTCGGGCCACAATGGGGGAATAAAAATTTTACATAGGAACATATAGGAAAATTTTTTCTTCTTATGTTTAGTCATTTTGATATGGAAGCATCCTCAGGTAGTGTAAATTCAATTTTTTTCAAATGATGACCCCCGGAGGTAGGGTGGGGCCCAATGGGGGATCAAAGTTTTACATAAGAACATAGAGAAAAAATCTTTCTTCTCAAGAACATAAAAATTATGTTTAGTCATATTGATATGGAAGCATCCTTAGGTAGTGTAGATTCAAGTTTGTTCAAATGATGACCCCTGGGATAGGGAGGAGTCACAATGGGGGATCAAAATTTTACGGAATATATGGGAAATTTTTTAAAAATCTTCTTAAGTACAACAAAACCATTTGTTATACTGACATGGAAGCATCATCAGGTAGTTTAAAATTCAACCCCCCAGTAATCTTTTCAATACACCCCCCAGGTAATCTTTTCAATACTGAACTAATCTGTGCTTTTGCTAGGCCAATGTGTTCAGGTGTTAAGGTTTAATATATAAATCCCTATCAACCCTGCAGAACCATATGAGCCCTGCATGATCCGTATCAGCCCTGGAAGCTGATATGGCTACTGTTACATGTACATGTATGTCAGGCATATCGCACATGCAAAATCTAAAACCTGTATTTATCACTAAGTATGTTAAAAATGTATATAGCACATGGATCCAATGCACGTTGGGACTCAGATATGGATATCTGAATCAGATTATGTTTTTGTTAAAGTGACTCCATTACTTTGTAGTTTTTGAGGTTTCATGGAAGTTTTACTTGGAGTTTATTCTAAAATTGCTTGCATCTCAACTTTATTTGCAATATGCATTAGATATTTAATTATTGCTTGTTGTTTCGGTATTGATGAAAATGAACCAAACGTCTCTAAAACATCATTAATTCCTCTCATTTAAATTACGAGGGGTTATCAAAAAGTTCGTGGACTAGCGTCATAAAATTAAAACCGCTTAAGGTACTTCAATGAATTTTTAAACATTAAAAATGAGCATCTTCTTTTCTATCTGTAAAATAAA